TTGTTTTTGTATTTGTTCATTGAAATTACCTCTAGGTCTTCGTCAATGTTTATCACAAGTGGGTAGTAGGGAGATCATGTGATCTATTTATCTATATGTATTATGTATATATCACTATATACATTATAAATGATACTATACCCTCCTTCTCCAAGAGGAGACATGTGCAGTCTTCACTCCCATTGGAGTGGGACCTAGTTGGAAACCGGATGACGCAATTGGACGACAACTTGGGGATTTGGTGATCATGTAGAACCACACAAATTTTTTTTGCTCTTAGCTATGAATGGAACCGATGACTGTGTGAGTCGTAGTCAACTGCGTGACCACTGCGCCACTCCGGCCCCATGTTATAGAATATATTGGCGAAAACCGAGGGAATGTGATTCTTTTAATCGCATATAATTTAGATTAATATGTGACATGTATATTTTATTCTCAAAAATAATTATTTTTCATTTTTCTGATAATAATAATTTAATATGATCAATTTGAAAGACAACTTATTATAACAGTTTATGGCTTACAATAATTTCAAAATTCTATATTAAGATGTAGAGAAAATAATATATTCTCTAAATCGTGTTCTAAATGCATACTATAGTATTTAAACGTAAATATAAAGTACAATATGTTTTATTTATTACTATAGTCGGGTGGAACTACTGAATGCTCTTCTAGTTTGTCAGTCTCGCTATGTTTGTATTGTAACCTAAATAAAAATTAATTATTCATGTATAGATTGTAATGATATTTTTGTAATAAAAAAAGTTATACTTGGAACTACTAGAATTTAGTTTCGAAATATTTTAAATAAATCTGCACAGTCCACAATAGGTTATTTCAGTTTTTATTTAAATTCAATGTGAAAAATAAAATAACAAATTACTTTGGTAAATTAAAATTACTTCCTCAAAAATGAAAAATCGGGCTTGCCGAAATTAATTCCACTGCGTATATTTCAGTAAACACGTAGACCTTAATATATAAAGAAAATCCCTGCACGACCTGCAGCGACGATTTAATGATGTTTGAGGAAAAACTCAGTTTAGTGACTGATAAATTTGCTAATTCAATAAAAATATAAAAGTTTATACGGAAAAAAAATTGTAAAAATATGCATTAAATAAAAGATAAAACTAAGGATTCATCCTGTGATGTCGCAAATACGATAAAATATAAAAAACTAAGGCATGTGCAATTATATAAAATAACATTATTTATGCCCTCGCTAAAGTCAGCCACGATATAGACATCTGCATATTATTATGTATATTGTATATTGTATAGATCGTTATTCCACAAAAACATGAATTTACGTGTATCCGGCTGTAGGCTTCAAATATTTATTGGGTAAAACATTATATGGTAATAACGAGTGAACATAATACTTACATATAAATATTATAATATGATAAACGATTCCACTCTCCTTCCCCACTCCGAAAAAAATCGCATGCCTTAACCTTCATGTTTACCATATTATTAAATTGTATTACAAATACATTTGCGATGAGCTTAAAGTTCAGTCGGTTTATTATTAAAGCAATTTATTATAATATATTTGGTTAAAATAAATAAATATCACAACATGAACAAAAGTGGCCTGCCAGAAACATCTTGGAGGAGAATTTGTGAAGGAGCAGTGACCAAAGTGACCCCCATCCATAACTATATATTATAGCTTTTAAAAATATTGTTTGTTATTTTTTCTAATATAATAATATCATTTTTAAATTAATTAAATTCATTTGTAAGATTTTAAGATAAAATATACATCAGAAGTAAATTATTTATTATTATCTAAATTTAAATAACTTATTTTTTAATCATTTTTAAATTAATTAAATTATATACGATATACATTATACAATAAAATTGTATAGAATATATTTATTATTTATGCATATACAATATTGAATACATATTATACACTAATAATCAGATAAATGATTGTATTTTAATATACATTTATATTATATATTTTACTGTCTTAATAATATGTGGTTATGTCAGTTATGATATTTGTCTATAAATAAACTCTTACGAAATTTAAATGTACCTAAATAAATATTGTATAGTACGCAATTACAAATATTATACAAAAATTTAGTGTCAATGTTTAGTTTTCGCTTCTCTAAAACTTTTAAATTGATTTAAGGCTGTAGCCTGCAGTGGTCTTCTTGATTCAATACCGATCAACCAACACATTTGTATTACAAGTGAATTTTTACTTTAAAAAAAAAAACTGAGGTGATAAATTCAGTCAAATTCATTCATTCACAATATGTTGTTATTATAATATTACATAATATATAGGTAAAATATCATTACCTACAGAAATTATTTCTTAGTTCTATAGTTTATAGATAACTATATAAACATATGGTTTTTAAAAATGGCAACCTTATTTTTTTCAATAATATAACAATGTAGTATTGTTTACATTAAGTGAATAATGTTAGGTTTGAAATAATAATGTTTTATTATCCATAAATATAGTAGTCATTTATAAAATAACATAATGGTGTTGACGAAACAATATTCAATAAATTAGATATTCTTTAGTCCTTCGATATAAACGAAATTGGGCTTTAAGAGTACATATCACGTACAAAAATATTGTTCGTTAAAAACCATAATAAGGAATTAAATTTAAAATGGCGAAAAAATTGACCGTGCTTCATCGTTTTTCTTTTCTCTCGTGATATAAATAATATGAAAAGAGTTACATGATTGTTTTAAAAAACGTGTTGCTCTTTTCAAACTTGGCCAAAAAGGAGTTGGATGGATTTGATGGAGAAGAATTTTGAAAGAATAGTAGTAGTACAGTGGAGGAGAATTATGATCGTTCAAGACTGGGAGAAATAGCGTAACGTTGCGATGGTGGCTAGGACTCTTGTGAGAATCAGAAGAAGAATACACAATCATTATTAATGACAATAATAATAATAATAATAATAATACAAAAGTCACTCACTCTGGGTGCATGCCGCGGGTCCGAGTAGTTGTTGCCGGTTACGTTTACCAACGTGGTGACAAGTCCGGCCACTCTGACAGCTTCCACGTTTGCCTTGGTCAGGTCCCTGTGCAGCTTGCGCAAATGGAACAGCGTGAGCAGCACGCACAGCAGGTTGATGATTATCCACAAAGCGTTGAGTATGTAGTGCCGGAACGGACCGTGTACGAGCGGACAGCCTGGCTTGTCCCTGGTCACCTCGGCGCCGGCGGCAAGCGCACCGCTCATGAACGTCGGGCCCAGGTTGATGGTGATGGCCGCGAACCATATCATGAACGTACCGAACACGACGCATTGCGGCGAATCCAACAATAGTGGAACCGAAGACACCTGCGGCAAAAAACAATGTTGATTAATTTCAATGTTGAATTATTAATGTAATTATCATTATAGGAATGTAACGCCTAAAAACCCATAAGGAATACTTATATGCCATAAAAGTTCAATAAATTGTCAAGTTCACTTTATTTTTATTTTTAACAAGTTTTGAGCCAAAAATATTTTTTATCAAACTGCACAATTTCAAGTCTTTTACGTAGGTGGGCTTTAATCCGAAATAAAGAATTACACTCGTGTAATTGTTCGTTGTTACTTGTAGGTAATTTACATTTTACGTCCTATGTATCTGTTCGAATGCAATAATTATGTTCAACAACATGMCATTAAGCACAAGAACATTGTTAGCGAGTGACAAAGTTACTTTTTTAATTCCTATTAGTTACCTCTTATTCTAATTTAAAAATACGTGAAATTTAATCTAATATGTTATACTTCAATCATTACATAATAGCGATACATAGTAAAACAACGCAAAGTGCAAATAAATCACAGTTCATATTATCATATATTTACCTATACTTATTTGATATAAGTTTTTTACCACCAAAATTTTTAACCAACCTTATCGTGTTTAGCATATTATTTTAGCAGCCAGTTCAGGAAAATGATAAGAGAATTTTTTAAGATTTTTTAGCGAATTACATTTTTACCTTTTATGATCCTAAAAATCTACTCTTTAGTTATAACTTATAAGTAAGTTGATACTACATATTATTATTATGACAATTTTAAAATATATAAGAATATTGAATAAAATCAACAAATTCTACGACCTCAAAAATAAATATTTAGGACAAGACGCATCCAAAAGCGAACAAGGAGTAGGAATAGCAATTATAATCGACAAAGAAATAATAACATATAAACTGCAAAAGAAATGCTCAATCTAWACCGCCGAAGCCATCGCCATAATATCAGCTCTTAAACATATTGAAAACTATCCTCAATAAAACTTCAATATATTCACAGACTCCCTAAGCTCCATCAATAGCATCCAAAAATATTTCAAACCAACGACATTGCCACCAACATTATAAATCAAATCGATAATCTAAAAAACCAAAACAAGAACGTCCAAATAATTTGGAYACCAGGACATTGCAAAATTCACGGAAATGAATTAGCCGATCATCACGCAAAAGAAGCCATAGTATCCGAAACTCCCAAACAAAAAAGTAACACAATATTAGACACAAAAAAAACACATAAAAATAATCACTCAAAATATATGGCAAAATCACTGGTCAGACCAAAATAACAAATTACGTAAAATAAAACATAACATAAATCCCTGGCCGCAATACAAAATTTCAAGAAAAACCGAAATAATAATAAACCGACTCAGAATCGGACACACCCACCTCACACATGGACACCTCATGAAGAACCAACCACCGTCAGAATGCACCATATGCGGAGTAACCCTCTCAGTAAAACACATGATGACAGAATGTCGATCAAATGAAGAAGAAAGAGAAAAACTAAATATACCAACCAACTTATACGAATCAATCGGATCCGACTGTCAATCCGAAAATATCATGCCATTCCTCAGGACAACCAAAATAGATAAATACATTTAATTAGAATAAATATAGTCAACAGCCCTTATAGTTGTAATTAAATTGTCACCTAAAACATGTAAGTTTTAAGTAATAGTATAATGTAAATTATGTATAAAGCTAATGGCCCATGTCGCCGAAGCTATAAAGATCAATAAAAAAAAAAAAAAAAAAATAAAGAAGAAAGCAAGTATATGTTATCGCGTTTAAGTCTGGTAAAGGTAAATTTAACCAAAAATCAACAAAATAGTAAAGTGAACCTAGAAACGTAAATGTTTTTAGTATATTATTAAATATGCTTGTGTTCAGTGATGTTCCTCACATAACTACACTGTTATCACTGGTTTAGGTATTGTGAAAAATGCTTTTAAAATTGTATTTAACAGTCTGCAGTTAAAAAATGAATCCATTCAGAAAATATGCAATTAAAAAATAATAATTTCGTAATGAAAAACATTTAAAGTAGTTTTAAGATGAAAATATACAAATATTTGCATGTTTTTAAATAGTTTTATTTAACCTTTCTAAATTTTCTTTATTTAATCATTTTTTATCGTTATTATTTATTTAAATTTTTACTGTTTTCGATGACAACACACATATTTAACTTCATACTCTAAAGCAAAATATTATACGAAATATTTTAATCTATAAGTATTGACAATATTTGAAACAAATACTTTATTAGTTGTAACTTATATTATGTATCTTAATAGTTTAGTTTTTAGTGGGCCATCATTTTTCGAGGTACCACTGTTATGTACCATTATAGTTACCTCGCCTAAACTTAAAATATTTATAACTCATACAATTCTTATGCATCATTCAATTTGTATTTGTCAAAGTACCTAAAAAAACGCATTTTGTCATTAAAAAAAAAAAAAAAAAAAATTAAATACGATAACTTTAAAGAATAGCAAAAAATAAATGTAGGTTTTTAACAACTATTAACGTTATGAAAAATACAAAATATTTTTAAAAAAATGTGTACTTTATAATTTTTGAAATGATAATGTTTGTCTTACGTTAAATAGATTATCCGCAGGTACACTTGAAATTGGATTTAATTTTAATTTAGAAAATTGTTTTGTGTTTATTAAATTAAAAACATTTTGGTTAAATTCTGCAACATACATAAGTTTCCACATACTTATGTTATTTGTGTGTGGAACATTATTATGGTTTAATTGAAACAATAATATATATACATATATCATAGTTTTGGATGACTATTTTGATCGTAAGATTGCTAATTACTTGATAACTTGAAGGGTTGTTAAGTTATAAGTTTTTCACAATGTTTAGAATAATAATTAGTATTCACCGGGGGACGGATATTGCTCGATACAACTTTCCGGCCAAACATAAATCCTCTCGTTACTCGGGCGCACTCGGGCGCACTCTGTTAAAACTCTATTGTATTTGTAGCTTACCGTATTTKTTTGGTGTTATTATAATATTATTAATAAAATATTGTTTATAATGATATAAGCAATAAAGCCTTTACCTATATTATACCAACGTAATTATACCGGATACACAAAATTTTTATGCACATAATGTTTGTGATTTTCATTAATTATATTTAATGTAATTATAAGTTTCAACAATAGAATTTTAGAAAAATAAACAATAAAAATAAAAATAATAATTAATACAACTTTCTCAATGAATCTTTAATTTATAATTAATAATAAAAAAATAAGTATTTTGCTTTCAATATCTCATACTTAAGTATGTATATTATATTATGTAAAGGTAAAAAAGATATCTGTTCCTAATTAGAAAATTAAAAATGTATTGTTATAGTGCTCGTTTAATTTTATAATTATTAAAAAACCTTTTTTTTATTATTTCCTATTATTAATTTAACCGTCTCGATATTTGTCTATATACTTTACCTAACCGATTAAAAAATGAAAGAAATATTTTCYATAAAAATATGATAAATATTATAAATATCAAATATGTAAATATACACAGTAAAATTTTTTTCTTTTTTAATTAAAGAAAGAAACTGTCCGTGGCAGCTGCGGCCATTGGACGCAATATTACATTTATATTATTATATTATATAATACATTACATTAACAGTTGACTAATCGTAAACAAACAAAGAAAAAAATAACAGAGACAAGAATTCTGACTAAATTAGCTAGTCCAATTCGGTTTGCTGGAGAAATGACAATACAAAACTAAGCTTATAACAAAGAAGACAATTGGTTTCAATTGGTTGTTATTTGCGTATCGCCTAATTGTATAGCTAGTGGAGACTGGAGAGCTTCTCCTTCAATCGAGTTGAATCTTGAGTGACACTTTTTGTGTTGGTCTTTGACCAACGGTATTGTCGTTGAGAAGTCACTAATAATAACCAATGGTGGAATTTTGAGCTGCTATGAGTTACATATTTTGCATTTTTTGCAGATTAAAAATATTTGTTTGAAATGTGATGGCGTTCCATACTGATACTGACATTTACATGCAAAGATCAGTCTTATAATTTATATATTATATTATAGTAGTAGCGATTATTTAAATTAGTATAGTGTTTGGAGTTATTGTTTATTAGAATGTACTCGTATAACATTTGCAATATGGCTTATACTTTGTCTTTTTATTCATGATATTCGATAAAGATAAGACTCTTAAGAAACTTAAATATATAATTATATAATATGTATTGAATAAAAATACAGATTTTTTTGTAAAAATATATCACCTTGGTATGTAAATATATTTTTATTGAAACAATCTAAAAGAAATTATAAGAATGATCTTAGAAAAACAGTGAAGCACATCAAGTTAAACGTATTACCACATATAATATAATATATTATACACTATTGCACTTTCGCTAATGAAAATTAGATCCCTATAAAGTTTGAAAACGTATCACGTAGATAATTTCCTTTTCATCGAAACGCACGTTCTAGTATTTTCTAGTCTGATCGAAACGAGGTTATGATATTGCATTGGATATTTTACAATTACTTTTTTATTATTATTATTGCTTTTTTTCTGAACACTTTGCTGGATGAAAAAAATATTCGAAAAAAATCACGTAACACCACTGAAAGAAATCGAAAATCGACGGCGTTTGAAAAAGATTATTTTTCTCAAATAGTTTTCCTACAGGTAGACAAGCGTCTAAGTAAAAACTTCAGGTTATCCATATAACCACCCAGGATTGATCTGGTGATTTACTACAATGTTATTTATTATGGTAATTTATTATTACATTGAAATATGGTATACCAAAATGGCAAAACCCCAATACTACGATCTAACTTCTTCTAGAATAATAGTTTACTCTAGGACACTATCCTAAACCGAGTTGAGTAAAGGCAGACGAGTTTCCAACATCCGGTGTCTGTATCCGGCCTGGCTTTTATATTCTATTTGTTTTTCCGTCAAAGTAAAAACTATTTTTTTTTTTTGGCAAACCATATTTTTGGTTTTGTATTCTGTCCACTAGAGTAGATTGATACGGGACGCGTGCTAGACGCGATGTCGTCTCGTGAAAATGAACTCGTTGATATTCGGTAGGTAAATAGTTTTTCTATTATTTCTACGTAAATATTATATACATACAAACAAGTATATATATATTTTTTATATTTGTTCATTAAAACGAGCTCTAGGTCTTCGTCAATGCTTATCACAAGTGGGTAGTAAGGAGATCATGTGATCTATTTATCTACGTATAATGTATATATCACTATATACATTATACATGATACTATACCCCYCTTCTCCAAGAGGAGACATATGCGATCTTCACTCCAAATGGAGTGGGACCTAGTTGGAAACCGAATGTCGCAATCGGACGACAGCGTGGGGATTCGTTGATCACGTAGAAGCACACAAATTTGTTTGCTCTTTGCTATGAATSGAACCGATGACTGTGCGAATCATAGTCAACTGCKTGGCCACTGCGCTACTTCAACCCACAAACAAATATGGACTCGGGGGCCGATGGCCTAGCGTTCGTTGGAACCTTGTACAATCACGAGATTGTCTTATAATATAATATATACTCGTGGTACGTGCACAAATCGGGTAGCGAACGAGATTTGATCACGTCGGGACCGCTAATGGAAGTGGCATTCGTTCCGCGAGTCTCGTCTGGATAAGCGTGGCCTACACAGGCGCGCTGGGGGGAGAGGTGACTTAATATCAAYCGTGGTCGCCCTGAAATGGTGATTTTGATGTTCACRGAGCTTCGTCCTAATCAGCGTGGTGTCGCACTGTCGCAGACTGTGTGATATTCTTCGGCTGGTCRTTGAGTCGACTTCAGGGTTATGCACTCTGGCGTCGTAACTGGTTGACTACTGGCGGTCGTCGGGTTTGGGCTACAACAGTTGTTGTATGCCACTGATGAYARTATCGTGCTGCAACTAAATTGTTCGATCGTGAGCTGGTCATTATATGCCGCTTGTTGCCAATATTTTTTTTTAAATTTATATATTTCAACGCTTAACGGCAATTAACAAAGACAAATACATAAATATTGGTAAGTATTAGATAAGTATTAGATAACAAATTAGTGTATATAAAAAACATTATAAGTCTAAAGCTAAATTACTGATAGAATATAAAAATTAAAATATAGTTAATATACATATTATTATTATTATTATTATTAAGACAAAACAAAACGTTGTRTGGTCCGTGTCTAAGATTTATTCTACTTTTTACTTTTGACTAAAATTCCAAAAGTCTTGGGTCTGAGTCTATTTTAATAGTTATTTGGATAGGATCATTACTTWGATAATTTGTTCTACGAATGCTGATTTCCAATATTTGTTTACTACGGGACCCATTTCTAGGTATATGAAATTTAACCCTTTCAAGMTACGACAATAAAAACGCGCTTTTTGTATGCTGCTGGTGCCACTTGGTGTCTTGTTCCTTCGAGTCTTGGTGTTGTACGTTGTACTGTTATATGTTGACGGTTGAAGGTTAGAATGAGACTGACTTAGGTTTTGTAACTGAACCGGTATATATACTCTTTTTATGGAAACCCCAGTGCAGATTGACCGTGTGACGAGGGAATGTCATATACCTACCTTTGATTTGGTGTGAGTAACTTTCTTGATACGYTTTTACATCATAAAACTCTTGAAACTTATTTCTTTACAAACCACCTTTGTCAGTTAACTTTCTCAGACAAAAGTGTATGATTATATTAAAAAAAAAAATAATAATAATAATAATAATAATAATATATTTATATTTAGTTAGATAATTAAACAACTCCTAGTCATGTGCCATAGTGGGTGGCTTCTTATCTCATCTACTCATGTTATTATAGCTCTTAGCATATATACTTATTATGCACCATTTGTACAGATTGTATATATTATTGTGAAAAAAAATATTTATTATGTCTATAAATATGTTTTTGCATAGTCAAAAAGCTTCAAAAATATACATACGATGACACACAAATCATTGTTATAGTACTTCAAAAGCATAGATGATATAGGCAATATATATAATGTTTAGACATCATTGAATATTTGGTCATTTTTAAAGTTCAATGTTTTCATTCATGGGTTCATCCAAAAAATAAAAAATAAAATACATTTACTCTACCAACTATATTTACATTGTTTCAATTAAAACTATTTTGTCATTATGTATACTATTATTATTTATTATTCATATTATTACTTATTATTATTATTAATCTTAAGCTCGTCATCTACGGCCATTATAAGTATTTGTAAGGGGGGATAAAGTTGGTTTGGAACATGTGTCTGTTTATGAATAGAGTTTGTAACTAATACTTTGGTGGTCATCCATTCAGAAACTAGAAGTCACTAATCACCCATACAGGAATTAGTAACACAAGCTAATGATTGCACTCTCGGGACACGTTTTGTGACTGAATCAACCACAGGTGTCACACCAAGCCACATGTAAATTATTATTWTTTTATTAATTGACCCATGGCAACATAGGCCCAACATGGGTGTGGGAAGGGTACTAAGGACTTAGGGGTGGCCAACAGGTCGATCGCGAGGTGAATTAGA